TCGACATAACTCACGTATCGTTGTTGACTAGGTCGCTCACGTTTACCGAATCGAAAATAATCGGAGTATTGCATCCACCTGTCTGCCACTGAACATCTGTAGTTTTCATTTGCTTGTCTTGTTTTGACGGCATCCCGTGAACATCTTGCCCACTTTTTTAAATTTCTTGTTATATGAACACTGCTAAGCACAGCATACAACCGTCCCTTCTAGTCTGGCGATGATCGATTTGTGTTCACTTTAACAAGCGACATGCTGGTCTGATTGTGCGCAAGCACTACCGCATCCATATTCTCTTGAGCTTCTGATTTCGCGTTGCTTTATCAGTGCCGCTTTTTTCGGAAAGTCTCCCTTGGGTTCCAAGAGTACATTTTTGGAAACAGGTTAGTACATTTCGTCTAACATCCCTTTTTTAGACTTGTGCAACTATGATTCCATTGTGGTATCATCAGTAGGGGAACTTATATTTTTGGGGCTCACCTGTGGATTTTTGAAAGCTTCACAAACTGGATTCCACAGCTGTCTGGCTCAGTAAAGGCACAAACGAGAATTCACCAGTAAATTTCGAAAACCATCCTGTATGAACAGTTTGAAAAACGTTATTATTAAAAACACCAAACTTCCGACATTTGAGCGTGTTTACTTATACGCCCATTTTGGGTCTAATTTCTGGTATCTCGGATAATTATTGGGCTCAACGATAGATTAAGGTGAAATTGTGTATTCTGGAGACTCCCATGGGGTGAGGTTGGAGTTTCAATAAGTATTGTTGAAGATACGCTATACTGGACATTTATCGTGAGATAGGCCTCGAAAACCTCGACAGCTTTCAGTTCAGAAACACAGCGAACGTGTTTTCTCTTGCGGTTGCCAAAACAGTCGGAAGCTAGTAACGTGCAAATGCGTGAACCGTCCACCCTAAATTCTTCATTGTCTCAGGGTGACCTTCTAGCATTTTACATATGGAATGCTCCTACGTCACAAGTAAATTTACGGCAGAGGTGAGGTGAGCAATAGCTGATTCGCCTGCACAACAAATAGACACTTCGTTTCTCCAGAATATTTGAGATCTGACTTCGCTTCTTGAGGCCGTTCCCATGTATGCAAAGGGAATGAAACCTCTGAAGAATTGCGCATACTCTATGAGTTTTGGTATGCCTCCGCAAAATGAAATGGGACCTGGGTCGATAGTGCTGCACGTTTTACGTATGGATATTATCATACTCCACAACCACATTTCAATGGAACTGAAGACGACCTCTATTTCCTGGTTTATTTGGAACTGAGGTCAGTACACCATGGATTCGTTTGACGTTTGCTATACAATGCCGCCGACTGACACGCCATCCAGTTTGATTATAAGATATTTACATGCAAATTTCCTATTTCGGTAAAACTCATTTCCAGACTACCTTGGTTGTGAAACGATTCCGCGCCACTCTACAAATACGGTGGATGCAATAGGGAAAACTCCCCACTTGAAAAGATGATATTGGTCTGTCCGGTCACTGCATCTGAGCCTGGGTGATGCTGGAGATTCAGCGCTCCAATTAGCCGAATATTTCGTGGCACATACATCGCCAAAGCACTTCCCGATCAAGTAACTGACAGGAACTAAGAGTCTCTCAGTATTATAGTGCTTCATAACGAATGCTGTTCATAATCACCTCAATTGCTTCTAGCTTCACCTGGAAGCCCGGCCTAAAGTAGACAGAATGCAACAAGGATATGACGATGGAGTCATCTGTTGTTGATCAGGTGGCTGTTGATCTGTTCGCCGAGCTTGGAGTCATACCCTCACTACGAAAGACCACCAAATGAATGTCGTAAGAAATCTACAGAAAATATCGATTTATTTAGGACTAGTTTTTCATCTAATTTCGGGAATGGACATTTCCCTACAAGAAGTGAATCATTTGGGTATTTGAACTTCCTTTCTACTAATTCTTGAAATTTGAATTATGCTTGACAGAGGCTAACGACCTATGCGTCTACAGTCTTTCGAGCATTTCGTCTTATTCTGCCAAGATGTCATACCCTGACCTTTTTCATAGGATAAACATCTGCAAAACCCTCCCATTGCCTCCTCACTTACCGAACAAATGAGACGAGTCCTGTTAAGTCAAATAGACGAGCACACAGTGTTTCAGCTCGGCTTGGAATAGCGAAACCCAATATACTTCGACTTGCCTATCGAGCAAAACATCGACAGTATAGACGAAGCTATTGAAAAAGCATATTGTGGTTGTGTTTACGCTTGAGTTTGTGATTAGAGGTAGCGTTCTCTGTGCGATTACTGTGCCAGCACCGATGACTTATGCAGCACAGTTGCGAAAACATCCTCCAAAAGGCTTCTTCGAATGCGGTTTCGTGGAAAACCCTGGAATCGCTGAGACTCTTCCGTGTATCGACGGCCGCTTGAATGTATATTTATTGCTGAAAGTTCACGGATTCGTTTGCGGAAGGCTTGGTTTCCAGATCCAGTTAATACGATACGGTACGATAGGACTTCAAGTAGTTTAAACAGCTCTACAAGCTGCAAGGATTTGATGAATACTTTTCATGACCATCTTTTCAAATTACATCTGACCATCTTTTCGAATTACATTGCCCTCATACACCCTCAATTAACCGACGAAGAACACGCGTCCTGCTACTTAATTCATAGCTAATACCCCGAACACAAGTTGATTTCCGACGAGTTTCCGTTCACCGTTCAGTGAAGATTAAACACCGCCACTGGGCCGTTGGATTGCATATGTAGTCTGGACTGATTTGCTTATCGAGTTAACGTAGAACTTAATCTGCAACGTTTGTTCCGCTATTTATGGGTCACCAACTAGTCAGAGGAGGTAAAATCACATAGAAATCTATACTGGAAAAATGTGCTTCAGATGAGCCTGTGGCATAACTTTTTCAATGAGCTTCACCTGACATCGCCACAATGAAAACGACCATTATAAACGACAGAGGTCGTTCAGCTGTAACACCCTTTCGGTGCCCAACTGCCATGCTACCCGAGGGTTGCACGAGGGCTGGAATATTGCCAGGTTGCCGAAGCCTAGATAGGTTGGGTCGAGAGGCAGAGGTCAGGTTCGAACCAGGGACCTTTTGGTCAGTAAATTCGCGCTCTAACCACTTGGGCCACCTCGCCCGACAGAGGTGGATCACCAGTGAGGCTCAAAAGGAGACCTAAATAAAATTAATCATATTGAGAAAATGCGTGAAAAACACCAACGGAGGCTGTACTCTTCTGAAGATAAAACGCCGTAGTTGAAAAATTATTCACAACAAGCCAATGGGGAAATGGGGGAGAAAAACTTCTCAAGCAAACGGTGTACAAAAACAACCACCAGCTGTGTAGTGAAAAATGTCACTTGAATAAGGGTGGCGACATATCACAAATTATCCATACTGCTTTGTTTGCATCCTTCCAGTTTGGTTCCAAACGACATTAATATGGTTGCACAAATAAAGCATCGTGGTTTCCCAGCATAAGCGACAGATAAGATATCTCAGAATGGGAGTGAACAATCACCAGTGAAACACAGAAGCAGCGAACTAAATCAGAGTCCGAAGTGCGAACAGAAGTTAAGTCTGGCAGGTCACAGTGCCTGATGAAGGGGCACGAGAGAGTGGTCCGCAGTTCTGGAGGTCTACCTTCGCATAGCATCCGCTACCTTGGTGAAGAGATTCAAGGGTGATGGTTTGGTTCTTCCTTCGGGTTGATTGGGATCATCCGAAGCGAGCTGAACCATGGAAAGTGATTAATCAGTCTTTTAGATCGGGAATGTGTGAAACAAAATTGACTAAATAACCTTCTCATTCGAAGTAAAGTTAAACGACGATCAGTCAAATATCCTAGTGAAGTTATGAAGTGAACACCGAGGGACCTTGAAAAGTTCAAAAAGTTCGTATAGGCAAACATGACAGCTATTAGCGTTGTTTCTCGATGGACGATTCGTTTTCAACGTACATCAAAAGCTGTCAACAACGACCGACCCTAAAAAGTGCCCGTTTCAATTCCAGCTAACTAAATTCTAGGGTGCAGACGTTTTTAGCACCAACGGCCCAGACAAATCCGGTACCAAGTTATCAGCTGCAAAGTGAAGAATAAACGTCAACACCATGAATTCACGGAGTCATATAGAGAATCCGGGCATCTGAATTGGCTTTTGTTGACCAATTCCATCACCGATCACTTTAGAGGGATGCTGCTGCGTTTTACTACTTACGGTTTACAAGAAAAGTCTTGGTGTCCACGGCTTTACCAGGAGGGCCATTAGCGAAATTCACTCAGGCGGAACTGTACATAACTAATTGAATAAACCTGGAGAATTGCTGCAAAAAGGATTAGAACGCCAAAGTGGGTATTCTGATGAAGGAATTGTTTATACAGCACTGTTTTGTTCCCCACACCTATATTTGACCATAACCATTGTAACATTCGCTGGAAGCATTCAAAATGAAAGCCTACTACCTTGTGCAACACGGCATTGTTTGCCACCCCCGAAGGACCAAGATTACTCCGGAAAGTCACACAGCTAATGCTAACCACTTGTGTCATAAACACAGGAGTTAAGGATGCGCTTATCCTGTTGTATCGTAAGCAGTCGGTGTGGCAAAAGGGAAAGGTTGTGACCATATTGAAATCTCAGCTGAACCGGCCAAGATAAGTAAGCCACCTGGAGTAGATTACACTGTTCCACTTACCCAACTCTGAAAGTAGCAATCGAACTCAGCGACCAAAGCTGATCTCTTCCGAGGAGAAATTTACCACGGAGATGGACTGTGAGGGACTGGCCAAGTGTACCCTTCTGAGAGTGGCTTATCCAAAGGAGTACGAATGTAAAATCGCATCTTGAAACTAGGTTCCCTTAGAAAAAATAAGTCTTCGTAGATAAGTTGGATATGATCAACAGCTAATAACGATTCATACGAGTGGCGCCAGCGAAAATCCCTTCCTGAACCAATTACTACTCCCCTCCCACAGACTCACCTCTTTCGCAATATTGGGGCGTATATCACCTCGGGCCATTAGCATACAATACAACTGATCCCCACGCACATCAGGAAATTCACGGACAATATTCTGGAAACAATAAAGAGGGTTCAATTGATTGTTATGAGAACTCTCCTGGGTAAAATAGAAGAACAATGTTGCCTGCGTGTGAACGTACAGCGATGTCCAGGGAGAGCATACATGCATCCGTGGTGAGAAAGAATTGGGCTATCGCAGCCAGAGCACTGTAGGCGACGGAGACCTCAAAAAGAGAAGAAATAATGATAGAAAATTGGTGAGGTGGAAAGTAGTATTGAAGTGTTACTATTCAAGATATAGAGAAATATAAGAGATGTCACATATCATGCCACCGGAGCATGCGTAGTCGGTATGGAAAGTAAAGCTATCCCAGTGCCAGTATCTGAAAGAGGGTGTTAGCAGAAAACGGAATCCAACAAGTTGATGTTGACACGCAATAAAAACAGGAAAAGCTGACAGGGTTCGCATTGAGTTGGGTGAACAATCACGATGTGCAAATAGACCGACACAAAACAACGGTTCTCCTTCAGTTCAGTTTTGATTCCATTTGCAGCGTACACAGACGACAACGTAAGATTTGGCTTGGGCTAAGAGGGATGAATTTTCCCTTCAACATTCTAGAAGATCACTTTAAAATCGGTAGATCTCGAATTTTTCCGCTAGTCATCCCCTAACACCTGTGCACAACGCCAGGTGCCCCTAACTGCACCTATCAAACACAGTGCGGGAATTGTGAAGTCAAATACGTAGGTGAAATTAGAAGGATGTTGTAAAGAAACAGGCAAGGGAGAATATTTTGTCGAAGTCCGCCAGTGTCACGACGTAAGTGTCCTTATGACGAATGTCGGAGTGACCTGTGTTTCCTTCGAAAAGTAAAGCTGTTAACTCCGGAGTCACTTGGGGTACATAAAACTGGCAACTTGGCGGGCAGCCTCGAATGATCATGATAAGCACCCCCGGTTGAGCGGAATCAACGTACTCCACTCGCAGCAAGAACTAGGTAGCAAAAATCAGTGCGCTGATTTTACTCGATTTGGGCACCAAGTGCGCACCTGGTGCCTGGCGACATCGGTGAGCCTTGGATCAGGAGCTAAAAATATTTGTTGTTGGTCTGTCCGTCGAGCATGGCAGTCGGATTGCAAAAGTTTCATCACTAATCGAGGTGACATCGTCAGTGGGGGGTTGGATGTGTAAAAGGGCCAACTACCCCGAAGCCTTACATCCACAAACGTAATTTTACGAAGTTACGTCGGGGAAAACATTAAAAGGCTCAGAAGAAACAACCATCAAACGATCATGTTGAAATTCGGCTTCTACATATGAAAGCCAAGTGACGATTCTTCCATAGGAAAGACAAAATCCACTGCACTAGCTAATCCACTAAAAGCGACGGCTCTCAAAGTAACAGAAACTGAGAATAGAGAGACAAAGTTACTCCCGGGTAAACGTCCGGGAAACCTGTGGATATGGAGCAGCAACGGGAGGCAAAACGACCGCAGGTTTCCTTTCACATTACGGCTAATTTCAACTACACTGAGTCCACATGAAAATTGGATAGCTTTAAAGGAGTTACTGGTGGACAGAGGGCAGCTCACTTGGACATCGTTTGCAAAGAGGACACTCTTGCCGCCATCGGTTCCTAACGATGCGTCCCTGCTAAGCGACCCAAGTTAGTCTCAACCTAGACAGGAGAACATTTGACAAGGAAGTTGCCGCGGTGGAACAAACGGGGGATAAAGGTTTCGCAAGCAATTGGAGAAGCTCGTTTATCGAGTTACATCTAAGATACCTTTGACATAAATATGTACCTGAAGAAAATTAGCTGCATTTCAAATGCTATCATCAAAGGTGCCCTCAAAGTGAACGATCTTTGCGTGCCTAGACGTGCTTGCCAAACAAGTGATGACTTTAGCAATCAACCTCTCTTGGTAGTTGGAAAACCAGAAAGATAACACATGAGCAGCAACAAGACAGACGGCAGAACGGAGCTCACCTCCTCACTGACTTTCATCGTGTCATGAAAATAGCACTTCAGTGATTCCCCGTCACGTAGAATCTTTTCTCCTGCTTGATGCCGCTCCGCATCCGACCGAAAAACGCATCGCCTGAAACAAGATATAATATAGTAGGCGCTTCTATTTGTACAGTGTTCTGCCAATTACGGGAAAAGGGGTGTTGGTAGTCACCAACTTACCTTGTAAGAAGTACCTTTATGTATTCAATAAGAACTCGTTCAGCAAGATGGTTGACCAATTGTTCATATATCGAGGGACGAACGTGATGCAGTGTCTCATCGTAATCCACCAGGGTACCAGAAAAGCAGTTGGCTGTAATATCATCGGGACGCAGCCTAGGATAATAAAAAAAAATGAGACGTACATAAGCTGTGTTCAATAAAGTCACGAATTATTGTTCAGCAGCTACTTAAAATTATTATTTTCAGGCATGAAGCTCATTGTGTCTTATCACCGGTAGTTAATTTCGAATAACTTGGACCTATAGGAATCAAACCCAATCCGCCAGTTTTTCCCACACACTTTGTGAGACAAACAAAACTGCGGCCACCACTGGGTGCCGAGATAACCAGTGTACCGAATATTAGTAATTAAAATCCTAATATCTGTCATTTAAGGAATATTCTTATAAACACTGGGTTTGTTTGTACCCATCGCCAACTTGCAAAATTGCTGAATTCTACCCAGTAGTGGGAGAGCTATGGTGAAAAAAGAATGATCCTAGGATTCCATCGCAATGTTTTTCCCCACAGCTCCTATTGAGGAACACAAAACATAGTTAGGCAGCAACTTCAATGCTCGACTGCGTCATTTTGCTTTTTTATTCATCGTTTGAGATCATTCTATTTTCCATCCCTCGTATGATACCATTGACGCGCAACAAACTCCAATATTTTAGTCATGAGCTGGACCTCGCAGTTGGATGTCATATATATTAGGCACTGTTTGGATCCAGAATAACCAATGTTTCGTCAAAAAATGATTTAGATGTAACACCCTTTCAGTGACTGGCTGCCATGTCACCCGAAGGAAGCACGAATACTGGGGATACTACCAGATCACCCAAGCTTAGACGGGAGAAGTCGAGATGCAGAGGTCAGGTACGTCAAATCCCCAGCTGCGTCCTTCACTCAGTTCCAACCTTGTGGTGAAACTGTCCATGAAAAGGCACCAGCCATTTGTGAAAATTCCTTTCGCACACGTAACCAGAAGTCTGATTGACTGGAGTGACTATGTCTATTCATGTATGCGACGGTCGCGATGAATAGGCCACAGTGAACTGAAAGTCCACTTGGATAGGTCAGGTTAGATTAACGGACGAAAGCGCCGTTGTTGAACACGTCAATTATTTTAGAATACTTTTAATCCCCAAACACCGATATCATTTACACTGGACATACGGTTGCAACCTGCCAGTTAACCCTTCAGTTATGTAGGCGGGGACAGCTGTGGCTTAATGCTGTCCTACCTTGGCAGGCATTCATAATTTACTTTGTGTTCATTGTCATTGTTTATATCGGGAGAATAGAATCATCCAATGACTACTGTCCAGACGATCAGGGGCCGAACCGTGAAGTGCTCAACCACTTGCATGGAGATTGCGGGTTTGAAACTCCTTGATGTTTAACTATGTCCTGTGTTAGTTTTACCATAGACTTATGAAACCTAAATCCAGTCAAAAAGGATACCAGCCATTGAACCTTTGCATAGCTAAACTCCACTCAATGATTGCAGGTAACATCATAGGAACAACGGTTTGGCTGACGCATGTCTGTGCACAGGATATTTGATATCCCGACACCGGCCTGTTTGAGCAGCTGAAGCAGTTGCAGCATGAATACTTGACATCTTTCAAGTGGCCTTAACTCATCCTCGCCGTATCACTATCGCATAATCCGTCAAGCCCTCTATCCTTCTGAGCTCGCTTAGCAAATCCCAATGAGGCTGCGGTTGCGTAGGAACGACGACGCAAGCATGTAATCGTCATGAAGGGATATGAACTGCCTGTGTCAAGACCGGTTGTAACATCCGAAGGTAGGCGACTATGCGCGAAGCAAGCCGGACTAAGCTATCTGTTGATCATTAGGATAGAAGAAACACTGAGATTTATCATGTCACCTAAGTGTAGGGGTGTGCAGCTGACGCATATTGGATATGGACAGCAAAATGCCACTTTGGCGCTGAAAATATAGTCCCATAAAACACACTTAACGGATGTTTTGTGGTGAGGGGAACATGACAAAAATGGTTGGTACACACGAAACAGCCATCAGTAGAATAAGAAAAGTTCGTGGAAACACGTTAATGATAAGTAACATGTGTTGTTTTGCTGCAAAAAGGGGGTTACGGATTGATCTTCATACGGAGGCCCCCATCCAATTCAGTAAACAAAAATTAGGAAACCGACAAGATCCTGATGAGGAAACAGCCCTCACGTAAGGAAATGCGTGATAGAATGATCGTAGTTTTAATCAAGTTAGAAAGCGAAGGAAGCAAATTTTTGGTAGCCATTGAGCAATACTGCTCACGCCATCCAAGCACAGGAACTTACCACTGAGGTGTCATTACGTTGTTCATCACGTTAATTATGTCCATGAGGACGGTCTCTTCAGCAGCAAGTCGACTGAAATATGAATACGTTTTTAGAAAAATACTGAAAAACTATGTTGTTGAGAAATATCTGTTGAATGTATCGCCATGTGCGTACAATACAATGGATAATGGTCTTCAATACGTTAACGGGAACGCCCAGGAGACCAACATAGCATCCATTTGGGAAAGGCTCAGTAAGGTGTCATTTTCACATATTGATTACATTGAGCATATTCCTTGTAACCAAGAGATCATGTGCGACAGACAGGGGGTTTGCCGCTGCGTTGAAACAGTCATGAATCGGGACAGCGTGATTCTATTTGCTAAGAGCACAGTAGGGGCATGTACACAGTCCCTCGTTGACGTGCAGCAAACTCATTCGCTGACCGCACTATGCAATGACGTAAAGAATGTCATTTGTTTGGCAGTGGTATCCGTCTGCCTCAAGGGTATACAGCAGTCACTGAAATAGACATGCAGAACCGGAATGCAAGTTGCGGTTTAAGGCCCCTAATTGAATTATTGAATTGTCTGACACCACAGAGTGAACGAACCGACGACAAAAGAGAAGGAATTGCAGATGTAAAGAGGCAAAACAAAGGTAATATCAGAAGGACACCGAGAATTCATTGGAAAAAGTCTGAGGGTGCTCACAATGGTAAATATTTAGGCCACCATAAAGAAAACGACAGCTCATACGAAACAATTTTGCAATCTTGGTAAAAGAGGACAATATGAGCAAAACCTTATTTGACAGAATTACTGAACGTATCCAGCACTGCAACAGTGCCAAAATACCAGATGATCACTTACCAATGGTCGGTTACAATACCAAACTGACTTTTCAAGTGATTCAACTGAGACTGCAAGCGCCCTTTCAACTGCACATCTTCGGCCAGTTCTTGCATTACAACAGACATGAAACTCTCGGCAATCACCAGAGCATTGTTCGCATTGGCTAACTACAAGAAATACCCAAATGGAAACGGCGAAGTGATGGTTGAAAGAACATTATGACCATTCGTGAACACAATTCCCAAGATGGAAGTCAACCGAAGAAAACGGAACGAGATGATGGTCAGGGAAGTTGAACAAACTACAGAGGGGCAAGTGGAAAGGATGAGTGGTACGATTTAATCCTATGGAGAAGGCTTGCGATTCGCTCAAAAGCATGATGACCCACACAGAAAAAAATAGGAAAAAGTAGTCGTAAGTGGGAGGTAGAAAGTTTACAACATGGAAGACACAACATATAATGCAAAAGAAGCCGGAAACTTACAATGTACTCGATGTAGAATCGGAATTTAGACCTGTCTTGCAGATAGGCGATGTGATATTGCTTGAGTTTGTCTGGAATCAGAGGTATTAAAAAAATCAGAATGTGAGTCAAGGTGCTCAACACAGCATTGCTGGATGGAACACATGGAAACGATGTTAGATTTTGAATTAAACCGAACTACGTATTAAGTGTTGCAAAGCATAATTCTATATTGGGAACGATAAAAGAATGCCGTAGGTGCATGTCGGCTCGGTATAAAATTTATACGACTGGCATCCAGTACCAACAATATATGTGGAAAGTTCCAGTGGCAGTCGTCGGGCAAAGCAACAGCAGCTGGAGGCATATTTTGTGACAACCAACGGAAAACTGAAAGTAACTGAAAGTTTATTGTCGTTGGGACTCATTGTATCTCCAGACCCATGTTTAAAAAATTATCCAGCTAACTAATAACAACCATTAGGTATAACTCGTAAGCGAATCTCGGTGAGGAAACCAAAGAATACACGAACGCGACGTGCCACTCATTGATTAGTCTTTATAAGAGAGGGCTACGGTTATCGCAGGAGGACGCCTGTGCGACGATTTCGATATCAGCATGATGGGGCTGGTGGGATTTTGGAGGAAACCGCATCGGAATGGAAGACTTTCCAAGTTGCAGAAGTCTCACGCTGTCCTCGAGGATTATACTTATGGGAGTCTCATGTGGTTTGCCGTTCCGAATTTCTGAGTTTAGATTTCAGCCTCTCGACTTCTCCTGTCTGGGCTTGGGCAACCTGGCAGTATCCCAGTCCTCATGCAACCTTCGGGTGGCATGGCAGTTGAGCACCGAAAGGGTGCTACAACTGAACGATTTTGTTTCCAATTTTCACTCAGTAAACACGACGATATGAGGTACGAGAGTAATTAGTTTGCCTTCCATACTATCCCATCTTTGCATCATGTTCAACGACAAGTCGATAGCATATAGCAGTTCTCTCTGCAAAACCGGACTGCTTCAACGAATGCCGGTTCTCTTTGGGGACATCTCCAACCCTTCATTAGAAGACTTGCGCTTAGAAAATTAGAGTGGCTTTGCTCGTATCGCATAGGTAAGGGGACCAGTTGAAGCGACTGTATTAACTCATTCCAATAGCTTGTTGCGCAGATGGACACTTTACGCTTCACCACCCAACTGCTGACCGCAGGCGTACTCACTGAGGACAATTAAAATATCAGCCATTAATGACCGTGAAATAAGCCCCCTCTGCAGAAATGTGTTAAGAACTAGTGTTTTCGGCCCAGACACACGGCTTAGACCCTAGCAGTTCCGTTTCATTACTTACCCTCAAGTGCCCCGATCACCTGACCAGCTTCACTTCCCAGAAGTGCGTGATTTCATTCTCTGAAGAACAATGTAGATATGTGATTTACTGAACCATAGCCAGCTGGACAAATCGCCGGTTTTCATTCGAATAATCTGGAATCCACAGTGGGAACACATCTGCAGCCAGCTTTCATATCTCCCAACAAATATCTGTACCTGTCGACTGTCGGAGTTGAGAGTAGTGATTATTCCGCTACTCTCTAACTCAAGCAACGGTTGCACATCAGTTTGTCTTCATCGAATTATGGGAATCACAATAAACAAATCTTCAGAACGCAAGAGGAAAGCTTATAGTTGAGGCCTAGAGTAGCAAGGTAAATGAAACTTCAGGAACAAAATCTCATGTTATTTCTCGGTCTTAAACTCGTTCACCCACTAGTTCGCGAGTTGAAACAAGTAAGCGAGTAATACCGTACAAAACCCATTCACCAATTCACGACGCAGTGCCGCTTCAAGAGGGTTTACGGCATGGTGAGGCCGCACTGAATATCTGTTGTGCGGCCCAACGGGACATTAAATTTCTCTCGAAAATTATAACGATAAATCCAGGAAATTCAAAAATATTTCCGAACGTTTGATTCTGGTTTATTACAACCACATTGGTGGGAATCACACGTACTGCACAACGCTTAGTTTTTGTTTACCCATTGAGGACTAGGGAGACTAGGCATATCCGAGGTCATGAAGTACCGTCTCAAGAATCAGATATACTTAGATAAAATTCAAACAACAAAGGCGTGGCAAGTGACCGAGTACTTACTATCATATTCACCGACGAAGTAGGTCATCTGGTCCACGCACTTAACAAGAAATCGCTCTCGAACAGAGCTGCCAAGAAAGTTAAGTAGATTGCCTTTGCCAATCTAAAACCACATCAGAAGAAGGAAATTCAGTGCTGCTAGAGTAAACTTTAGATTTGACAGGTGGGTTAGTCAACGAAGTCATAAGTGCATAAGTTCCAATACAGTGTAAGCGTTTGAATTCGGCAATGTTTCAAACTTTGCGTACAAATAACGTAACGGGGTATTAAAGTGAGCGACGGGGTATTGCGAGCATTATCCAATAAAGTTGGGTAGTAAGCAGATCAGGCCGACACTAGGACGTGGTACCAGCTACCGAGTGAAACCGCCAGCCTGTCATTCAAGCAAAATTCAAAGGAAACCGAAATGATGAGACATTTTGGGCCATACTTGGACATTCAAATGCTGCACTGTTTCTGATTGTTCTTTTTGTGGGGTTCTCATGATACTACAACCCTCTCTTCTGCACATTCACGATCGTGGAACTCGAGAAACCATACTACACAAAAACCCTAAGCAACAAAAATACTGGATCCACCTACAGCGATTGGCAACTGGAAACAGGTACCAGGTCAATGAAACAGAAACACGACATTATAAGGGGGAGCGGCGTGTCGCCAAGTGAAGAAACTGCTGAGCCCTCATGAGGCAGCTTAAGCTTCTTGGACTTCCAGCTGAAACAAACCCAAGGCTCCAAGTGGCCCTTCGCAGGGAATCTGTAGTTAGAACAAAGGTGTACAAAGAAATATAGAAAAAATAAGAACATCTACGACCTTCAACCTCCAGCGACACTTACAACTGAACGTTTAAAACCACATACGGTGAATTCGAGTAATTTCTAAAACACAGGTCGTGATAGCTATTCGACCCACCGGCCTTCTAAGTACATTACAGATCACAATAGGTGATTTGAGGGCAAAAGACGATTCCTCAAACAAAATAGGCTATAACATTGTAGGCACTGCGTATACAGCATTCCCATGGATCCCAGTGGTACTGTTGAGTCACGAGTAAAATCAGCTTCTCGTTGTAAAGGAACGATCTGCCGTAAGATAAAGTAAATGCACTAGGTGAAGCTGACGACATCCGACCATAGCTGACAAAATTGGGGCAGCAATGTTCCACAAAAAATTTGTCTACAGGAAAACACTTGGAAGGAACTACATATGACGGGGATAAGATGAATGATTAGTCGAGACTGGGCCAGATTGCTGTTGAATCGTCCTTGCTAATGATAAGGGAGGTAATTATTCCAGACCGATTGGCATATTTTGCCCTAATCACCATCCTTGATCATCATCTTCATCATCATCATCATCATCATCATCATCATCATCATCATTACCATCACTGACAGGAGTGAATGAGGTCGCTGGTACTTCACTGCCGCGCGATCAAATCAGTTTATTAGATTAAAGTCATGTAACAGAAGGAAGAAAAGAATAGGACAGATAGGAGGGCTATAGCTACCGCCGAACAAAAATCCGAGGTGTCTACAAGTACAACACCCAGACAGGCAATCAAGAAGTGACAGCATGCATGCAACTGTCATCGGTTAGACCTCACCTAATTCAGTGTCCCCAGCTAAGTACAGGGAGCGTCAAGAGGACCTCATCCTGGAAGGCGAACACTCAGCCACGAAGAGAATCGACCTTGTCACGGTGTGGGGAATCGCGCACCCCCATAATCGATTGGGTTTTACTGAGGAGTCTCTGGACCACCCTTATATCAGGTTGGTCAACGGGTGGAGGTCTGACTAACAGTGTCCTGGTACCCTAGGTTGCGGATCGGCAAATGTTTGGCTTCTTAAAAATGTAAACTGCTCTGACGGCCTTACACCAATCAACGCTACCCTGTGCTTAGGTTTTTGGGCCAGACTTTTACTAAGGTCCTCCTGTTTATGTCTGGGCACCCTGGTAGTACGTACAACTATGAATTGCACATTTACACCATCCTTGAGGTCAACCACATTGCATATTTCATTCTTTGTCTATCATAGCATGACATACTGATAAGCGAGAAGCCGGAAATCTGTATCAAGACATAGGTGTCGTAAACTGATATTCCAATCATGAACAATTAGACGTGATATGTGTCAAGCTGTAGCAAATATGGAGAACCAACCAAGTTTTGGAAGACCAATAGAGACCGGGGAAGTTTCAGGAAATTTCGACAAAACGTCGGCTAACTGCAAAGATATAGGATTAGATACCGCGACGGCATGTAGCGGTAAGGGAGAAATGTGGGAAATGTAGGAACCTGCAAGAAAATCAACATCGGCATAGTGAAGTGAAGAAATCCAAAAAGACCAGAGCTGATGTGTGAAATTTCCAGCTAATAGAGGCTTCAACAGTAATTCAACAGTTAATTCCACAAACGCATCTTCCCAGACCTCAAAACGAGAAAGGCTTGGGATACAAGACGGAGGAGTGGTGGAAATGCGGACACCGTTCCAGAAAACAAAGGAAGTGCTAGGAATGTGGAGCACTTTCCGACTTTTTTGTGGAGATTTCGTCCTGTAAGTGAAGCCAATCTGTGCTGAAAAGCCGAGAAGCACAGTGCTTCTCGGCTTTTCAGCACAGATTGGCTTCACTTACAGGACGAAATCTCCACACAAAAAACCCCAAATCTCCTCTACCAACCAAATTTCGGACTTATTGGGATAGAGCCAAACATACAGATATAGATGTCTTGTCTGATGCATCAAAATTGATACACTACGTTCAGTAGAGCGCGGAGTGTGCATTTCTGACGAAGGCGTGGATGTGCCACTGCAGTTAACCGGATCTTAATCTTTGCTCCGCAACTAAGTTATGAGAATTTCCAGTACCGATCTGATAAACTAATTTTCCCGTCGTTTTGGGCCAGGTTGCTTTGATGTCATCCAAAAGGGACTAAGAGAAGCAAACTAAACACCAGCAAACAGCTTTTAGGATGAAGTCCATTATAATAAAGAATGGCAAAAAAAGGTCGAATAACGTACCATTTCATTCAGCGGGGTCATTAGAAGCACGGGGAGTCCTGTGAAATAATAAGACGATCCATCCATTTCTGGAGCGACAGGACGACGCCAGTCCTACAGGAATAGAATGTAATACTCGTAAATATTCCCGGGCTAACCATCAATGAGACTTTGTGTGGATGCGACGGCTGTAGATTTTAAATGTGAGTTGAAAATCTCATGTGCATATTTGCTGGATATAAGACCAATCGATTACAAATGACAGATTCATTTAACTATCGTCCAGCTGTAGCACCCTTTCGGTGCCTAACTGCCATGCCATCCGAGGGTTGCACGAGAGCTGGGATACTGCCAAGTTGCCCAAGCCTTGACAGAGGAAGTCGAGAGGCAGAGGTCGGGTTCGAACCATGGACCTTCCGATCAGTAAATTCGCTCTCTGGCCACTTGGACCATCTCGTCCCTATTTAACTATTGCGTTAACACCACTTTATCCTGAAAATATGTGTTGAAGTACGAACGAGAAATGGTGGAAATTGGGAAGCTACTCATGCTTGATGAGAACCAGGAGGAAGAAACCAGTGAAATGTCGAAAAGTACTCGCTGACATTGGATGTGGTGCCGTGCGAAAGGGAAACTAATTTATGTTGCTCGATCGAAAGCCATTGAAAAAATCCGGATTGTGCAAGAAAACTGCTACAATTTAACCTCGACCAAAAAATATCACAACTCAGGGAAAAATAGAGGTTCCCTAAACAATAGCTGATCAACAGCAACAGTCTTGCTTACAATCAGTATTCGATCCCCCAGACCTTCAACGAGCTGCAACTCCGCAAGTCAACATGTGGTGTACCACACACTAGAGGCGGTAGAATTACTGAAAAGCGATGATTACATGAGTCAAATTTAGTGGCAGTTATGGAGAAGCTATACAGCCGAAACATGAAGTAAACTGCATACGACACTGAAGCGACAAAGTAAGGCAGCTGTCAACGGACTGACTTTACCGCACGGGAAAAATCAGCGATGGACTTACACTTGCATCCTTCGTGAGTGAATTTGTCAGCCACGAACACAGCCGCTCAATCGTCTTCGATATATATCTGAAATTGGGGAAAACAATAAGCCAGTGAATGCAAGTCAGTGATACAATTTACCGGAGATCTAGGAAGTAACGACAAGTTAAAACTGGCCGTGGCCAGAACGAACATAACAGACTCCGTGATTGTTATCTGTGACGCATGACTGCCTACGGATCTCACATGGACAATCACAGTTTTTTATGGAAATAGATCAGAAGTGGACATATTAGGCGACGCGCTAGGTAAGTACCGTTGTCGATGGCATGGGTAAGAGTATCGTATGAGAAAATACACTGGAAGCCGGTGGTTAATGCCTGTATATGATTTAACGGAGCGATGGGAAAGAAAATCAAACGGAAGAGGCTCTGGTTCACCAACTAGGCGAATCTGCTAACAATCCTATACGCTGGATATGTCCTTCAACTTTAAACAACTTGCTGTACCAGTCGGAAATATTTCAATAAAGCACACCGCAAAAAAAGCAAGTATGCGCGCGGAACGCGTCCAAAAAAGCATCTCCTTGAACCTTTTAATATAAAAAAACGTTTCAAGAAGGAGGCTGGCAGCCTGGTCCGAAACCCGGTCGCCGAAACGGGCGTTCACGATACTAACCACTGGGTTATCCAAGCCATGGTTTGCAAAACCGCTTTTCGGCCGCCAATGTAATTATCATTACCATACTGGCACTATGCTATACTTCTATAGATCGCATTACATTATACTATGCTATGCTATATCAATTAAATTAGGTTAAGTCATAATGTGTTATATAACACAACGTAATGATATATATTCTATAAGCACTTCCATTATGTTCCATTTTATTCATGTGTCTGAACTTGCACTCAATTTATATTTAGTGGAAATATCCAGTGTCCGGCAGTGACGCTGCAGTTTACAGAAAACATGCTTTTGTATGTTTAAGTAGAACGTTGGCTATTGGCTATTAAGAAATTCAACAAGGATATCATTTTTGTAGGCTTCCGGTACAAGCCAGTTTACGACACACATTCAAAAAATGAATAGCGTTGAACTGGCAAGTTTAGAAATCCACGGTATGATTTGACTTCGGCTTTCAAGAGCTACACACTATGACGACCACAGTGCTCGTTAGAAAAAAAGACATTTTGGTCGTTGAACTCCAGGTTATCGTACAGCAAAAAGGCACCAGATACATATAATTCACTGAAGCGTAGTGGAGTGTAAGGGGTTTGTGACTGATTACAGGAAACGACCAGCAGGCCGAATTCCCAGGAAGAACAAAATTTAATAGTATGAATACAGCTGTCACCTGGAATAATACACCCCGGGCGTGTAATATCCAATATCGAGAGAACGATTTCATAGAGCCAAAACCACTACATACGTTGAATAAGCAAAATGCATTCTGGATCAAAGCAAGGAGAATCTATTCTCAATCCAAAATACTTTTTTATCTGAGATGGTGATAAATTTGGACTACCCAAATATGTAAATTTGGGCATGCGAAGAGGATGCAATCTTTGCTTCAGTTAGCGTGCGTTCACACAGGGAGTGTTTGGAAATTAGTCCTACAATCGGCTGGATGCACTGGCGAAATGCTGCTTTGTAATTTTTTTGATGCATGAAAAGAGCATTCCTCGTCTGCGCTTGTAACATGTGTTATAAGGGAGTGTTCAGCTATCACACAGATTAATGTGAACGCATATGCAACAAGACGTGTTCTGTTTGGCCTACATCCACAGAATGGAAGTGTTTTCCTAATTAACTTTGTGAAGAATGCCAGATTTTCTAGGACAGACTTGTTAGGTGTTCCAGGTCAGCTCTGCACATAAAATCAATCAATACAGCTTGTACACTCCACAAGACAATTGGCCACATAATAACTTGTATTACTTCTTCATACTAAGTAGCCGTGGATGTTAAAGCGAAGTCAAGTGGCACGATAATCAAGTGAACACTAACGCCTGTTGGAAACCCAAACTGGATGCTGATTTTGACCCAATTTCTTATGCAAAAACCTTGGTAATTTAAAGGTGCACGCTGTCTGGTATGACAAAGCATGTTAGTTGTTAGAGCCATTGTCACTGGAGCTTGATGGGTCATGTCTCAGTGTCACCCGGCTTTTGGTCACGGGTGCAGTTACGGTCTTTGCACAACCCTCCACAGCCTCCACGGCACGGCCCTTGGATTAGGAAAGTAACCTCATCTTCCCAAACCGTGTGAGTCCATTTACGTTTTCACCATTGTTGGCTTGGGATGCTATCTTGGACGGACAGTCAGTGGACCGACAATCCGGTTATTGCGCCTGACACCCATTTTCTATTTGGTGAAAACAACTCTATCAAAAGAACGCAGCGAGCAGGACACAGTACAGGCAACATGGTAGTCTTGGATATATCCATCCATTCGGTCCTAAGTTGTCTGCAAAACGTTCTCCACAAGCAGAGGATATCCAGAAGCTGGAGGTTTATAACCGCTACTTTCTCCAACTTATAAGGAAAGACCGCTATCTGAAGGTGTCAAGTGATGATACCTAAAAACACGTTGTCACTACGTAAGAAGCGTTTCTCAACTCCATCAACGACGGTGCCTGTTTGAATATGCAGCGCGGCATTTATAAAGCTGACTAACCCTGTTTCAGGAAACGATCGTTCGAAAGCAAAAGGGGTAGGACTAAGTGGCATGAGGTTTCTAAGAAGGGGTGAAATAGAAGAGTCAAAGTTTGTCACATCAATTCATATTCGCCATCGAAAGGATAATAACCTACGCGTAAATTAAGAGTGAACCGGCTAAGGATTTAACATTAATGATAGTTAGTTTTCGAAAAAAAATGCGAAATCCAGACAGCTGACTTACTGTTCACGTAATGCATCCAATTGGTTTTCCGGAAGCAGATTGATGGGGTATTTCAGAGTGAGACGACTAAAATTAATGTCAAAGGCCGGTTCCTTCATGAATTCTTCGGTGCTATGGGAAAAATATTTTTTTTAAATGTGACCGAAGCGATAGCGGGGACTTTACTGATATGAGTTAATCCAACCTAACAGCTGAACAATTTGAGTATCCGTCAAGCCCTCCATAACCATAGCTTCGACCTGAAAAAGATAGTAAGCTCATTGAACTGAACTCGGATTCACTCACGTGGGCCCCAATCGCATTGTGGTACATCTCTACAAATCGATCAAAAATGTTGTAATCCGGTGGGAAGTATGTTGGACAAATGTTCTGAAAGAAATAGGGATGGCGGATTTGATCAACAGGAAGAATTGACATAAGCGAGTGCGCTAGAAAAAGCAGCTGCCAGACAGATGGAATCACGGCGACTAAAATAAATGCAGTGAAGTTCCTCACATCATAATCCAAGAAACGAGGATCATTATCCCAACCAAACCCTTTCCTTCGGTGTGCCATTCACACAGGCGAATACAAGTTCACGACTTTTTCAAAACACACATCTATAAGCCGCACTCATTCAGTCAGATGTCAGCCAACTAAATATTGCCCCAAATTAAGATTTCTAGTCGGCAAAATACATAGTTACTAAATCCACAGAATCTGATCCATATTACAGCTTCTATCGCCTACGTCGAACTTGAGAGAAGGTATCTCATGCTCAGACTTCGAGTTTCGCATGATGCCGAAGTATATTGCCCTCAAAATACGCATATGAGACCCCTGATTATTCAGGATGAAGCCACAATTCTCAGATTGCAGTAATAGTTCTTCAAAACCGCTGACTCAACGCTAAGTTCCAGTTTTCTGTTTAACAAGACACTGACAGTGTCACGTCAATTTGGTGATGAACCGTTTGCAAACTCAGCCAAACTCAACGAACACACTAGCAAGTTCTAATCTTTCAAGAAGGCACTGCACACCTACTTATGTGAACGTTTTCGGACATATGATCACAGTCATCTACAGTTCTGTAACGGCCTAGATGGTATATGTTCTTTTGACTTGTGACCTCTGCAATTACTATCCAGCGACGTAGCCCTCCGTTAGGACCAATTCTTTACACCTAAACTTTCACTCACACCTGTAATGCCAGCCGAGTGCGACCATAAAACTTAGAATGCGAATAAAACTGGTTTACTCGCTGTGTTTGAACGACGAGCATTGTGTGTTGATCCTCAAAAGTCTGGCATAGAGTGTTACCAGATAGAAATCCTCCGAAGTAAGGCCACTCTCATGGAGTCTATGCTATTCAAGATTTCGTGAACGGTTTTCACAAAAGACGCTGAATACCGCCTTTTGGTCATCACGCGCAAATAAACATACTCTTATGCGGCAATAAATCCTTATCACGCTGCGACTGGAGCTCTCTAAGAGGGTGTCCCTAATAGAAAACTCTAGAAAAAGGAAAAGAACACTTGACTTGAGAGTATCTGAATGCAGTCAGGTAGTTTGAAAGTTGTGCGTACCCTATTGAATAACGAGTGAAAAGCAATGAACACTGTCAGGAAGGTGTTAAACGGCGCAAAAACCTAAATTCGTCAGTAGAAGCCATAAGCTCATCAAAACACTCACTTTGGCTATCTTCAGGTCGGCCAGCGCATGTTGTCTAATCGCCTCGTTGTGTCTGACTAGCTTATTTTTGTCACTGTCACTATCCATAGCACTGGCGAAAACCCTGAGAAACAAGAAGTAACCGAAATTTGAAAGAAATTGAACAGCTGAAGTTCGATCAATTTAATCGAATGACAAATCACAACCACTCGTCCTTTATGTCCATGGTGATGCTGCGTGAACCTGAAGAATGGTAGCAAAACAAATCAGGAACGAAACAGCTAGATCGCCCTCCAAACTCACATTAAAGCTCTGTAATAATCGACGAAGCAGGGTGTCATAACATTGCTAATAACATCGCCGATGGATGATTTCATGATGGATCATTTTTTTAGTCGAAGGTTTACAAATGTTAGACCTGCTGAAGAGGGGAACCGAGAATAGGGGGCTCAGAGAAACCCTTGACGCCGAAAAAATCTGTTTCAATGTCTTATCAATCGACAGAAACCTTACACATGGAGGTTAAAATGGTTTGGGTGCTTAAGATGATACCCATTAGCCATTATCTGATCGGAATATCCCCCTTTCCTCATCAACAGCGCTTTTAATTGAATTTACGCTCCACGGAGTCACAATGGTGACGGGGAGTATTATGATTTCAGTTCAAGCTTTCTAATCCTTAGTTACTACTCCAGGCAGGTATCTACGATGTATTACTTTCACTTCCCTACTGTTTTTCCCCACAGTGAACAAAGCTGTAGCAACTGGGACCATCACACTTTGGTGCAAGGTTTGTGAACTAAAAAAACAGGACTCAACTGATTTACACCTATCAGCTGTACATAGCGAGTAAGGCGACCCGGCTGATGGCACCACGGGACGGCCAGTGGCATGAAATTATTGGTATAAATGAAGTTCGTGGTTGTATGTCAAGCGAAATACCGACAGCCCAGAGAGAAGGATGATAACGGCCCCCAATCAAGGCCTTAGTGTCAAAAACCTGACAATAAGGTAGCGGTGGGTTGGATTATCAAAGTCGTCCTACCCTTAAAAAACAGGCCGCTACACATATGCTATTCACTAACACGGGGGATCAGAAGTCCATGTTGGTTTAAGCCCTCGTTTGACCACGCTGGCATGAGCCGTACTACGAATATCACTGGCCTAGCGATTGTGGAGATAAGAAGTGAAACAAATGATGTTAAACGCGGGTTTAAGATACTACACACTACAACCTAGCCGTTGAGTTCGTAGTAACGTATGTAGCGGTCATCCCTTGTTCTTCAAGCCGGCTTCACTTAATTTGTTTGGTACGTCAGCACTCACTAAATCACGCGTCACAAACACCCAACTTACGTGATTAAATCTCGTCCCACATGCAACCTTGACCGACAACATGTACACTAAAATCTCCCGTCCATTTTGCCTAAGTGGCTAACATCTACATCACGCACCAGGCTTACGACCTTCAAGCGGTATTCAAGTTTGTGTAACTGTCAAACAAGAACGGACACCCTCTCTTCACACTGCACACAATAAATAGGCATGTAACTCGGCCCAACACGCACAGGACAAGAATTCAACAATAATCCATAGGTCCACGGACCACTACGGAACACATGTTGCAGCTATACTCCAGAGAAAACACGTCCCAAGTTCGGACCTTCACTCAGGAACTCTCAACACGCGTCGTCAAACGATGAGGTACCTTTTGAATTATTCCACTTTCTGTATTATACTTATACAGTATATATGGTGCAACTAGTAACTGTAAACTACGTCTACCACAGTAAAAACTGTTATCAGTGCATACACCTTCTCAGCATGACCATTACTAACCTGCGCACTAACATGTGTCATTGCAGTACTTCAGATACGTTCTTGTTGCTAATCGTTATCAGATTACTCGGAGTTGTAGCGTATAAAGAGACATTCACAGCCATTCCGATCGACTGTCTGCATCCCTTTGAGAAAAACTCTTCATAGTTTAGCCGTTCATCATCACCTGGTGTCACTGTACTACCAACAGTACATCCATCCTTAGGTGATATTTCTCGAATAAAGTCAGTTGTGGAAAAACTTGGATTGGCGTATAATCTGTACCAGTAATAACCCATAAGATCCCATGAAAACAGCATCAGCGAGCCCAGTAGGAGTTGCCTATGAAGAGATGACGGTGAGAAGACGCGAGAATAGACAAACAGGGAACCACAAATGCATTACATACTTATCACGAATAGCTTTCGAAATCGAGTCCAAAAGCAGTTTCTTCCATTGCTTCGGCCGACCATGTGGTATGAACTGGGTTTTCTCTGAACGTTTCTCCCAGATGGCATCAGCTCTGGGGAGCAAGACAGTAGGACAGTAAGACAACAATTAACGGAAGTCAAGATAAAGCAACACAGAGAAATTGCATAGCATCAACAAAAAAAAACAGGCATTTTATCCGATAAAAGTCAGTAATGTGAGTCGTGGACTGCTTTTTCGTTGAGAAGAGTTTTGGCATGTTGGGTAAGGATGAGGGATGATTGAAGACCGGAAAATCACCAACCAAGTGACAGAATCGCTTCCGTATTCTTTCAATCAGATTGTGATACGACCCTATAGAGTTAACTACTCGGAGCTCTGAGAAAAACGTTCTTCAGAATCGTCCTTGTTAGCACTTGAGCACTGAGTTGACTCATTCAGGAATGATCAACAAATAGACAGTAATCTGATAAAGCTTAGCATCCATGAAGGGATCAAAGAATCCAAGGTTTTATCAACGGATGGTGCTCCGGAAGAGCGAACACGTCTTAGCAGTCTGTAACACATGAGCTCATTTACGTACAACAATCATTTCAGAGCAGTAAAAATGTGATGTCGGTAACTTATAGTCCGACAGAAGTCAAGAACCGGGAATCATACATAATTCTCAAACTTCGTCAACTGACCAAGACCCACTAGTATTTGTTGGAGTCGCCGATTGCAGGTGAATTTAAAATGATAAATCGTTCAGTTGTAACGCTCTTTCGGTTCCC